ACATGTGTCGTCAAATCATTTTTAGGAATCCAAAATATTTCCCCGTTTCAAACTTCGTAAATGTTATTTTAAAAGATATCACCTGCCCTTAAGACATGTTTCTCTCTAGCTCCATACGCCCCTGATGTAACCTGCCACTACGACTTGTTTCTCTCTCGCTCCATACGCCTCTAATATAACCTGTCCTTAAGACATGTTTCTCTCTGTCTCCTTGTTCCATGGCATCACCAGTAACCCTCTCTGTCTCCTTGTTCCAGGCATCACCAGTAACCCACACTGTCTCCTTGTTCCAGGCATCACCAGTAACCCACACTGTCTCCTTGTTCCAGGCATCACCAGTAACCCACACTGTCTCCTTGTTCCAGGCATCACCAGTAACCCTCTCTGTCTCCTTGTTCCAGGCATCACCAGTAACCCTCTCTGTCTCCTTGTTCAAGGCATCACCAGTAACCCTCTCTGTCTCCTTGTTCCAGGCATCACCAGTAACCCACACTGTCCAAGTCCAACCTTCAGCGGGGCCAGTGTCTCGCCAAACTACGACTTCAGCCGCCGCTACTACCTCTCGCACCCCCATCACCATCACCACCAGCCGTCCCACAGCTACCACCACCACCAGCAGCAGCAGCAGCAGCACCAGGGCCCCCACCCGTCACAGCATCCCACCGACCCACCAGAGCCGGGCCTCACTGGCAGTTTGGTAGTGTCAGATAGACCCATGTTGCTGCTTCAATCACAAGTGAGTATTTGATTGGTATCCATGAGCACAACAATATTAATAATCCATGATATCCATATACACATCCATACAATAAAAATAAGTAATCCATGAATGCTATATAAACAAAACTTTTTTTTATTCGTTACATCCATGTACACCCATATTTTACATTCTTCCATTATATTCATGTACACAACAATGGAATACAATGATCCATTATATCCATGTACACAACAATGGAATACAATGATCCATTATATCCATGTACACAACAATGGAATACACTCCTTCATTAAATCCATGCATACAACAATACTATACATCCATCATTTATCCACATGTACACATACACCAATACTTTTTATTTGTTATTTTTTAAAACTATATCATATACTCTAATACCAACATGAATACAAACTAGTGATTGCCCGCCAAACATTGGCGACATCAATGAGTGAACTTCCCATCTCCTAAAGTTACTTGTCAAGCCATGAACTCAAGTAACGCACATTTAAGAATCCCAGTTTTTGCCCCCCCCCTCCCAATGATACCTCACTGCACACTTTTTATTTCACGCCCATGAACTATGTTAAATATTCTGATGTCCCAACCACTTTTAAACCGAATACTTATTCCACCAAATTTAAATTGAGAAAAGAAAATAGTACGAACCCAACCCAGATAAGCTATTTACAAACAAAAACACATCATTCAGCGTAGTTGTCGGGAATTATATTTTGCGCGCTATCCGGAAATGGAAGCGGCCACACCACATGCAAAATATATATAAGAGATAATAACATTTTCAACGAATTTCAATAACGTGTGATAGAGTAATGAGAACTATTATATCTGCATGATTAAGAGATTTGCTTTGTGGCTGGCGACTAAGTTAAGAGGTTTGCTTTGTGGCTAGCGACTAAGCTAAGAGGTTTGCTTTGTGGCTAGCGACTGAGCTAAGAGGTTGGCTTTTGGCTACGACTAAGTTAAGAGGTTTGCTTTTTGGCTAGCGACTAAGAGTTGACGATTGAAGAACACAAATGTCGCCATCTTCAGCTTTTGTGACAACCCCCCCCCCCCCCCCCCCCCCCCNTTTTTTTCTAAACCACCACCCCCCCCATCTACCCAACTACTACTTCGGTTAGTGATACCCAACCATGGCTTCACAGAGATGAAATCCTAACTCTTTGCCAACGCCCTCACCATGGAAACAGCTACCCCCCCCCCCAAACTCCCCGTTTTGTATTATAATTCTTTGATCACGACCCATGGCACCCCCTTGGGAGGTCAAATAACTTAGTCAAAACTGACTGTAGCGGCGTGCACTAAATATGTTGTTACTCTAAGACCCGCCCCCACACCCCCCCACCCCCCACCGCCACACACCCCCCCACAACATTACACACAAAACCACCGGCGAACTGATCACGTGCCCGCCGACTGCAACCGGTAATGAATTACAATGTTTGCGCGCCGTTCTCATCGCACCGTGAAGGGTGTTCCCGAAAAATACAAGACCCCAACAGATTTGGAGAGCGTCGGGCACCACGCGAACAATGGAGTGGAGTTGCTGTGTCGGTTTTCTGAGTAGCTCTAATGACTGTCAAAATTTGTGTGGCGACTCGTAAAATAGGGGGTTCACTGATGTGAGACATGAAAGAGCCTCGCATCATCTGTTCTGTCGGTCTGTTTAGATTCCAACAAGAGGATGGGGAAATAGAGAACTCGATTTTTTTTAGATGCGGAGTTCAACTTTTCAAGTTGTTGTAAAAAGCCATTTGTAAACAGAAGTGACTAAGATGCTTGTCTGTCACAGTCTCATTAAACAGGAGTGGAGTCTTAAAATTTTTTTTTTTTAACACAGAGGCTACTTAGAAATGTCACTACAATAATGACACCATTGATAAAACAGGACACCATTGATAAAGCAGGACACCGTTGATAAAGCAGGACACCATTGATAAAGCAGGACACCATTGATAAAACAGGACACCATTGATAAAGCAGGACACCATTGATAAAGCAGGACACCATTGATAAAGCAGGACACCATTGATAAAACAGGACAACATTGATAAGGCAGGACACCATTTATAAAGCAGGACACCATTGATAAAGCAGGACACCATTGATAAAGCAGGACACCATTGAGAAAGCAGGACACCATTGATAAAGCAGGACACCGTTGATAAAACAGGACACCATTGATAAAGCAGGACACCATTGATAAAGCAGGACACCATTGATAAAGCAGGACACCATTGATAAAACAGGACACCGTTGATAAAACAGGACACCATTGATAAAGCAGGACACCGTTGATAAAACAGGACACCATTGATAAAGCAGGACACCGTTGATAAAGCAGGACACCATTGATAAAGCAGGACACCATTGATAAAGCAGGACACCATTGATAAAGCAGGACACCATTGATAAAGCAGGACACCATTGATAAAGCAGGACACCATTGATAAAACAGGACACCATTGATAAAGCAGGACACCGTTGATAAAGCAGGACACCATTGATAAAGCAGGACACCGTTGATAAAGCAGGACACCGTTGATAAAGCAGGACACAAGTGATAAAGCAGGACACCGTTGATAAAGCAGGACACCAGTGATAAAGTGGGACACCACTAACACAACCCTTACTAAGTAAATGTCACCATTACACCATGCACGTGTATGAATCTACGCACAGATTACAGCGAACCAGAGAAATGATGATTTGACCTGTAATTCCTGTCGTAAAATGAACATATACATACGACATATAAACAGAAATATCAACCATCTTCAGTTAGATCTAACAGAATATTTTAAAAAATAATTTTAAAAAATTAAAAATGTTTAAAAAAATTATTTTAAAGAAACAAGATCAAAAGCCGTCTTTGTTTAGTCACCAGCTAGTTTGAAAGTCTATTTGACATTTTGTCATTGAAAAAACAAACCAATGACTTCCCAAACTTGGGGAAATAAAAAAAAAAGGGGATTATGACGAGGTCAGAACGCCAACATATGTGGTCCTGAATGACGACATGAGTCAGTGATTGGTTATCGTGGAACTCCCCCCCCCCACACCCCTTTTTCCGCCCTTGCCCCATTTTTGATCAACTCGGTGCCACTTTGGGCTCCTCACAGACCTCCTCTATTGTCCCTAATGTGCACATCGCTGGGCACTCACCAATTTTGGCACGTGGCGGGCGCGGTCACAAAAATACGATCATCTGTTTGGGGGGGCGCCGTGCGACCATGTAACCGAATCGTGGCACGCGCAGTGCCATCGCCCCGCCCACTCGTAGGGCGTCATAAATCAAGTTCATTAGTTCCCTTCGATGATTGGAAATGGCGACATGGGTGGTTTGTGCCTGGTGAAGGGGTGTTTGGGGGGAGGGGGTGGGGAGGGGTGGGGAGGGGGGGAGGGGATACATTTCATCCCTCAATGGTTGGAAATAGGGAATCTATGTTTGGGGTGCAAAAATGGGGTGTCAAGGGTGTTGGATCTAACATTTCAGATATTTTATGATGTCAACACTTCGTTTTTGAAAAAAAAAATGAAAACATTTTTTTTTAAAAAAAATGGTTGTATGGCGAGTTAATGTGGTCAGTAAATTTCATAGGTCAATGACTCAGGTCCGGGTCGCATAACCCTGGTTAGCACTTTGGTAGATTTCCCCAAACTGGAACTCAATCATTTTCAAAGCTGTTAACACGGAAATGTTATTTAAATGTCCAACTTGAAACTTAAAAAGATTACATTCATTACATTTAAGACTTGGTGGCAATATGTATTTTGGCTTACAGAATATTATACACAGTCTGATAATTTAATGGGAGTCCCCTTTTAAAATCTAAGGCTATTGTGATATGTGACCTGTAAGTGACCATCATGGCATTGGGTAAATAAAGTAACAAATATTGGGAAAGATCATTGCATTAAAAAAATGTGTCTGTAGATTAATGACACATTGACACATTGACACATTGCTGCCAATTTTTATTGACTTTTATTTTTATTTTTATTAAAATTCAAATTTAAGTAATTCATAGTGCACCTAATGTGCATAGACCAGTAAGTAGAACACAAGTATATTGTTGTATTTTTTGTTTTTTTTAAAGACAATTTAATTAATTTTTTTACTTAGATTAATTTAAATGCGATCATTTCAATCACTATTCCCAATTCTCCCATGACAGGCAAATCAAATATACCGAATGTATACTTTAAAATTGGTATTATTTTGATAGTTTAGTTTATCGCACGTCTTCACCATCCACAGGCCAGCTACGAAGCAGGGGGAGCTCTAGCCGGAAGTCACTTTGCTTCCGGTGCCTACTCAAACTCTCTGACGTCACAGTCAGCCATGGCCGACATCAACATCCTGGCCGCCTCCTTCTCGTTACCCATGCACGACTTCCAGCAGGACGTGCCGCCCTACGGGGGAGACGACCTCTCCCCGGACCACTTCTCCCCGGGCTACGACAACAGCCAGTCCAGCGGGATGAGCTTCGACCACGGCCACCAGCAGCAGCAGCAGCACGTGGCGCCCCAGGGGTACATCGACACGTACAGCTTCGACAACAGCTACAGCAGTCACCAGAGGGAGCCCTCGAAACACAGCCCCTACGGCGCCCCCAGCGTGCCGACGACAACAAACAGCCTCACCATCATCAACAACAACAACAACAACTCCACCACCGCCAACAACAATAACAACAGCAACAGCACTTCGAACAACAACAGCTCCAGCGCCAACAGCCACTCAACGACGGTCCCCAACATGTTCGTCGACTCGGGCCCCATCGATAAGTACTCGGTCACGCCGTCACACTCCATGGTGGAGGACGTCTACGGCCCTGGTTTCACCAGCCACGAGGCGGATTTTTACTCTCATCAACAACGTTACATGGACCCCTCAGCCAAGGCTCAGTTCGCCATGGACGTCTCCAAGGCCTACCAAAAACACGCTTACTCTGAAGGCAGCCCACAGGATTTAGTCTTTCCCCAGTCGTCGCTGGCCTACTCGGACCTCGAGCAGAAGCCCACCCACCTGTACTGCCACGGGGCGTACGACGCCCCGACCCCCGGGCCTTACTGCGCGGAGGGCCCCAGCTTATACCAGCCCTACCACCCGGCCTTCTACGGCGGCCAGAGCGGGCACTGTCCACCGGGTATGCCCTTTCCGTCACCCGGGGTGCCCCACGGCAATGCCTATCGGAGTGACCTTTCCATGTCCATGTCTGCTCACCCCTCCTCTCACATGCACCACTCACACCGACGGACGTCACTCACCATCCCCACTCCTCCCAATGCTGACAGGTAAGAGATGCACTTTTAAGTCTAGTTTTAATTCTAGTTTCAATTCTAGTTTTAATTCTAGCTTTAATTCTAGTTTTGATTACTAGTTTTAATTATATTTTTTATTCTATTTTTAATTCTGTTTTAATTTTAGTTTTAATTCTAGTTTTAATTCTAGTTTTAATTGTAGTTTTAATTCTAGTTTTAATTGTAGTTTTAATTCTAGTTTTAATGACTAGTTTTAATTCTATTTTTTATTCTATTTTTAATTTTGTTTTAATTTTAGTTTTAATTCTAGTTTTAATTCTAGTTTTAATTCTGGTTTTAATTGTAGTTTTAATTCTAATTCTAGTTTTAAGTCTAATTTTAATTCTAGTTTTAATTCTAGTTTTAATTCTAGTTTTAATACTAGTTTTAATTCTAGTTTTAAGTCTAGTTTTAATTCTAGTTTTAAGTCTAGTTTTAAGTCTAGTTTAATGCTATTTTTAATTCTAGTTTTAATTGTAGTTTTAATTCTAGTTCTAATTCTTGTTTTAATTCTAGTTTTAATGCTAGTTTTATTTCTAGTTTTAATTCTAGTTTTAATTCTAGTTTTAATTCTAGTTTTTGTTCTTTTTTAAATTCTAGTTTTAATGCTAGTTTTAATGCTAGTTTTAATTCTAATTTTAAATCTAGTTTTAATTCTAGTTTTAATTCTATTTTTAATTCTGGTTTTAATTCTAGCTTTCATTGTAGTTTTAATTTTAGTTTTAATTCGGGTTTTAATTGTAGTTTTAATTTTGTTTTAGTTTTAGTTTTAATTCTAGTTTTTATTCTATTCTTAATTCTGTTTTAAGTCTAGTTTTAATTCTTGTTTTAAGTCTAGTTTTAATTCTAGTCTTAAGTCTAGTTTTAATTCTAGTTTTAATGCTAGTTTTAATTCTAGTTTTAATTCTAGTTTTAATTCTAGTTTTAATTCTTTTTTTAAATTCTAGTTTTAATGCTAGTTTTAATTCTAGTTTTAATTCTAGTTTTAATTCTGGTTTTAATTCTAGCTTTAATTGTAGTTATAATTCCTAGTTTTAATTCTAGTTTTAATTCTATTTTTAATTCTTTTTAAATTCTAGTTTTAATTCTAGTTTTAATTCTATTTTTTATTCTATTTTTAATTCTGTTTTAATTTCAGTTTTAATTCTAGTTTTATTTCTAGTTTTAATCTCTAAGGTTAAAATAATTATAAAAATGTGTCAAATGTTCATATATTCTATAGTTTTTATTATATATATATATATATATATATATATATCATATAATTCTTCTGCTTTGCTTTATCTCATTTAACCTTCATAAAAAAATAAATGAGGACACATTTTAGGAACCGTGTTTTGTACTGACTTGTTCACTGTGGGGCTAATAATAAATCATGATTTACTTCATGGCTTAAAACAACCGCTTATTAAACAATGGATTTTCTTTTTTTTTTTTTTTTAAAGGCGTTTACTAAGATTTTTGTAATTTCTTAAACTTAAAGTGAGAGACAACGCTAAAATATGTGTTTTAAAATAAGTGGTTCATTTCAAATTGTAGAAACTGCTCTAGTACAGCCAATGCGTTTGAATTGTTGGAAAGACTCTGAAAGAAGTTCAAACATGTAGCAATGACATCTGGCTCGGTGTTTGGGTTAAATCTATCTTTCTATATCTATTCATGGCCTGATCTATTCTCTGACCTCTCCCTCT